AAAACTGTATCATCTTAAAACAGCATGAACCTGGACTTTAATTATTATTAATCTCTAATGATATATAGTCCAGATAATAGAATTACTTATTTCATATTCTGGGTAACAGGTCCTAACACTCAAAATTAGAGTAATCAATTTTATGGATGATATATTGCTTGTTAAAAAAAACTCTAGAATAATATTTCTAAGACAAAAGAGGCAAGTATGAATAAGGGTAGTGTAATATATATATCCAATAACATGATATAACTGTTAATCAACAGCTATTAACAGACCACAAGGGTTTGTTTTCAATTTTGAATTATAATTTGGTGTTTTTGCTCCTTTCAGCTTCTTTTTTTTGTATCAGTATTCAGTGGGATTTTACAAATCTTGTCTAGTAGCAAATCAAGCAGGGCAAATGCAAACTGTTGTATTTGTTGAGTGGATGGTAATAACGGGATAAAATAGCAGGTATGGTTCTGGAAATTGTAATGAATCAATGACTCGATTGTTTGTCTTCTTCTATAAATGGTAGTAAAATGCCTGAAAATATCACAGTACAACAAAAATAAATAGTTATAAATGCTAGACAATTTAGAAACCATAATGAAATAAGCAAATTGATTAAAGAATATGGATTAGAAGATAAGAAAATAGCTCAGTTTAATCCAATTAGTGTTACTCCTCCTTGGCTATTCCCTGAGGTAAATGTAGACATGAGACTGCTTAAAATGAAAGATGGTTGGAATTTAAATGAAATAGAGATAAAGACTGATATGTATTTAAGACACTCATATTAGAACTACGTTAAAATATATTCAAATAGTTCTAAGAATTTAAAAGGACGTGTGGGAATAGGAATATATATACCAGAGTTTAACATATACATTTCTAAAAGAATATCATATCAACTATCTGTTTTCACAGCAGAAATGGTGGCAATTATACTAAGCTTACAATGGATAGAGGAGGTTAGACCAGACAGGGTGGTGGTCTGTACAGATTCCACAGTACTTTTAGAAAGTATTCGGGGAGAAGGAAATAATAGAAAAGATTTAGTATTAGAAATTCAGCACAGTCTATTTAGATTCTATAGGGGTGGCATTGATGTTTGGTTACGTTGGGTTCCAGCACATGAAGGTGTAAAAGGCAATAAAACAGCAGATATATTGACAAAAAGGGCTTTAGAGGGAACAAAAATCTTTTTGAGAAAGGGGAATGGAAATCACTTATTAAGAGTAAAGAAATGGAAAAATGGCAAAAGAGATGGAATGATGATAAGAAAGGAAGAAGTTTATATAAGGTACAAAAATCAGTATTAAATAGAATCAGTGAGAGAAACAGAAGGGAAGAAGTAAAAACCATCAGATTAAGAGTGGGTCATACCTATTTAAATAACAATTTATTTTTAATAGGGAAGAAAAATAACGATAAATTTGAAGGATTGGTTGAAAAAGAAAATGTAGAACATGTACTGATGAACTGTACAAGTTATGAACATAAAAGGGAGAAGTTGAGAAGGATGGTTGAAAGGACAGGCAAAGAATGGAGTGTTTAAGGAAATATAAAGGATATTCACATATTAAGAAAAGCATTATTTATTTATCTACAGAATTCAAAGTTAAAAAATAGAATTTGATGTAATGTTGCTACACACTCATGTACAGTAGGTGGCAGTATGCGCCTTAAAGTTGTTTGCGATCCGCCATAATAGAAATGAAGAAGAACCATAACGAGCCACACCACACCAGTTGGTGGCGGTAAGAGCGCCTTCATTTTTTTTTTTAAACCACCTTCAATAAAGTCCAGAAGAAGAAGACCCACAACAACTGTCATGGCTGCCTCCTGCTCGTTAGTGTGCTGCGGAGAAGAGACTGAATCCGACAAAGCTGCTATCGGTAAACATATCTTGTTCCATTGTTGTAAGTCTATAGTGTTAACAGCAGTGGTGTCATCCGTTTTTAAGAAGGTTTTAGCGACCAATTTAGAAATTTGCGCGCACACGTGGGCGCTCGCTCGCTCGAAATAAACCAGTGCTCTGTTCGAAAACCTTTTTTTGTTTTTGTTTTTTTTAATTGAAAGAATTATACAAACCACAAGGCAGCAAATCAGAAGGTGTCCCAATACAAAACAGAAATGAGAGGCATTGATGCAGAACAGACAACAAAAAGACAAACAACAACAGCAAAAAAAAGGGGAATACATTGAAAACATTGAAAATAAGGCAGTTACGAATTACAAGACTGCTAAATTATGTTCTACAATAATGTTGAGAAGTTTTTTAGCAATAGGAGTCGCCATTATTTTAAGGGCTTTCACATAAAGTAGAACCTCATTGAAAAAAGCACAAAATTTAGGAGGCATTTTCTTACATTTGGACTTATGTATGTATGACTTTCCAAGAATTATGATAGTATTTATCAGAAGGGATGTTTTTTTACAGTCCAAGATTAGACCAAAAAGAATGTCTTTCTGACAAAAAAAACTCCAGCTGAGGAAAACTAGGTTGTAACCATATGAAAACATTTTGCCAAAAAACATCAGAGAAATTACAGAGAAAAATACATGGTCAGTAGATTCAATATCAGTATTGCAGAAAGAACAACAATTGGTTTCAAACCCAAAACGCTGGTGTAAAAAGTCATCGGAGGGATATATACCGTATTTTCACGACTATAAGGCGCACTTAAACGTCTTTTTTTTTCCTCAAAATGTGCGGTGCGCCCTATGTGTGTTGTAACTGCGACTTTTGAGACCACCTCATTGAGGAGATGATGAAAGAGTGGC